AGTTTGACGTGGATTTCGGAGGTAAGACGGTGGGAACGCTGAGTGTTAAATAAAGCCTCGGGAAAAAACGGATCCTATTTAACATATAGTAGCATATACATGTATTACGTGAGGGTAAAACACTTATTAGTTACTGAAAGAAATCACTTTAGGGTCTAGGAAACACTTGAAACTAAGTGTTAGAATCACATGTGATTTGGAAATGGGGAGTTTACGGCCGTAAAAGAATGTATGGTCAGGGGTTTGCAGCCCACAGGGTTTTCGGTCCATGGGTTTACGACCCATGGGTTTACCGTCCATGGGTTTTACAGCCCATAGGTTTACGGCCCATGGGTTTACGGCCTATGGGTTTTCGGCCCATGAGTTTACGGCCGTAAACACTTGAGGAAAAGTGTGATTCGTGGCGTTTCAAGGTCCTTTCTAGCCTCTTGGAAGTGTTCTAAGTCCCATGCATGACTTAAGGATGGGTTTAAGATCAATAATTGACCAAAAACCGGAGTTCTCGACCAATGAAGGGTGTACGGCCATACACATGCTTTACGACCGTAAACCCTTTGTGTTCATGCATTTTAGGCTGATTTCTAGGTGAAAATCAAAGTTTTTTAGTAGTTACCAAGCATAGGGAGCAGTTACTTACTATAAGGAAGCTTGAATGAGGTTTTTAGCCACCAAGAACTAGTGTGTGTTCTTGGTGAGAGAGAAAATCTAGACAAATGATGAGATTAATGAGGTAGGAACATGGTTTTATAACTAGAAAAGAGATTGAAACACAACCAAAGTGAAGAATCACTTACATTCTTGAGGAATCTTGGGCAAACTCGATAGTCGTAGAGAGAGAGAGAGAGTAGAGAGAGAAACCTTTTTGAAGTGTGTAAAGTGACTAATGAAGGCCATATACCCTATATATAAGGTAGAGTGTTCGGCCAAGGGGGTGGGGTGGGGGTGTACGACCGTAAACTCGAGTTTGCGGCCGTACACTTCTCTCAAAGGGGTGTTTAACCGGGATGCTATGTTAAGACTTAGAAAACTCGATCTAGGACCCGAACCTCGATTGCAATGAGCTCAAAATAATACTAACATGAACAGAAATAAATCCGAATTGATTTATTTTTAAACGGTGTGAACAAAAGAAATTTTCGGGTTGTCACAAACTTCAAGAAGAAGTCTGTTGTAGTTAGACTGGGTTTTAATAAATCTTTTGCTTCCAGTATGAACAAATGCTCCAATAGTGATGGCTTCCCAAATCAAATATCCGTTTTCCTCAAGGCCAAGAACATAATCTTCAAAGTGAACAGCCAATACTTCATATTCATTGGGAAAAAGAATTGAGATCCTTGTTGTAGATCCAATACTGCTACAAAGGTTGATGGAGTTGATGTGAGAATCGTCATGCTGCATGATAATATACCTTTTGAGATCTATTAAGAATCAGACGTTTAAATTGATGTAGTTTTAGGGTAATATTAAGGTCACAGATTAGCGTCAATGAAGCTGTGATGACGGCTGAACCAGATCCAATATTAATGGAAACCCTAATGACTTTATAAACAGAAGAGATACGTATAGATTACACAGTCTCCTACTCTGATACCAATTGTTAGGATATTAATCCTTGAAAGAAAGATTTGATTGAAAACAGATTATGAACAAGAACAACAGCAAGACAATGATTCAAAATATGCTTATTGATTATATGTCATATCCTTAGAAGAACTCGATTAAGAATTGCTACTGTAGAGGCGTGATTAGGGTTGCATGAATATTGCCAAAAAGTAATCAAAACACGGTGCATACATGCACCTTAAATACTAAAACCCTAATAAATGACGGGTGGACAAGCCCAAGCCCATTTACATAAATGAATTATTAAATAAGCCACAATGACACAACCCTAATTCCCAACATGTCGCATACCAGGCAATTATAAGAAATATATTCGTCTCTACTATAAACAACTACTAACGAGCCAACATTGGTGCCTTCGGCCCATTCATATCAGGAAGGTAACTCACCTCGAATACTAGAAAGTAACTGAAAATCCTCGGCTCCAAATATCAACCTAGCTCAAGCTCCTAAACATAAAAGATTTCCTTTAAGTATCCTTTCATATTCAAAACCCCTTACGTGTCAACTTTGGTCAAATCAAATTAAAATTCAAAGTCAAAGCCAATGCTCTGATTTGACTCGACTCATCGAGTTTGCCCTTCAACTCGCCGAGTTCTCAAGAATCATAAAATCATGAAATCGTGATCCAACTCGTCGAGTTTTCCTCCATTTCACCGAGTCCCCCCTTAACTCACAGAATCGTGATATCACGGGTTGACTCATCGATTTTCTCATACAATTCATCGAGTCCCTCTTTTTCAAATAGAGTCGGGACAATTCTAGAACAACTCGTTGAGTTCCCTTATCAACTCGTCGATTTCTTTTGTTTGTTAACCTTCTTAATGCATTAAGTCCCTATTCTTCAAATCAAAGCCCTATCTTATGTATCCAAGCTGGAAATACATCTAAAAGGGTAAAGTTTTAAACTTTACACAATAAGGACCTCTCCCTAATGCATAAAACTCAAACCCTAACCCAAAAGGGCTTAGATCAAACTCCAAAAGCCATTAAAACGTCAAGATAGACCATGGGGTCATAGATATGGACTCTAGGGACAATCTGGTCATGTAAAGCTCCCATCTTTACTTGCATGCATGACTAATAGGGATTAAAAGACCAAAATGATGGTCTAAAGGTTTAATGGGACTTCCATGGCCATAAAGTTGGCACCTTTATGCCATGAAGTCCCTTCAAGTGCCTAGATCTGAAAGGGTTGCCCAAAATGGACGTCTATACCCCAACTATCATTGTATTTGGACCAAAACATGAACCAAAACATCATAAAACTAGATCTAAGCATGGCATAGACAAGGTTGAAGCTTTATACCTCAGATAAACCAGAAATGAAGCCTAACTTATGGATTCACTCTCTTCTCACACACTCTTACTCTTCCTTCAAGCTTTTGCTTCTTAAAACTCATGATGAATACACAAAATTAGCTCACCATCACCAAAAATGGCTTAGGGTTTCAAGATTAGGGTTTCGGATAGTGGAGCCTGGAGATGATGCAACACCTTTGGGTTAAGGTGTTTAAACAGGGTGCAAAATCCCAGAATTAGGGTTTCATTTCTGTCATCTTACTCTTCAAGTTGAGGTCTCCCAACTCGTCAAGTAGGTTTTGTAAATCTGCGGTCCAATTCATCTCTACGTGACGAGTTTGGGGCCTCCAACTCATCAAGTTTCTATACAAAAATGAATAATTATAAATTAAATACATACAAGGGACCAAACGTTACAACACATAAGAGTATATATATATATATATATATATATATATATATATATATATATATATATATATATACTCTGACCTGTGATGAGAGCACTTAATAAATTCTAACATAACTTCAACTAAAACTACTAACTCAAACCTTTACGTTAAATGCCTCGACTAAGTTTACTACCATACATAAGCCATACCACAAATAAACATGGAATGCGTGCTTATGTTATTTATGGTCGAGCAGATGCACAACCAACCTTGAGCAAAGAGTTTGACAAACTACAATTGCTGAGAGTCTTAGAGACTGAAGAATGTTCTCAACATTCGATGTAGATAACTAGTACCTTAGAATCCTTATATCAACTCCAAAATAATGCATACATTTTAAAAATATTAAAAATGCCTAAAAATATGGGATAACATTCAGATTTTCCTAATTTACCTAAATTCGAAGAAGAACAAAGAACCAATAGCTACGCTACCGTTGTATTCAACAAGAGAATTTCTCATCTGTGGAGGATCTACTCAATTTTGTAATGAATTAGGGTAGTTGCCTCATGAAACAAAAGATATTCATCACCTTTTGTCATTGGTTAATCTAGAACTTGTGGAAATATCGAAATGATCAGGTGTTCAACGGGGTATTTCTTAATCCAACAAATAGTTTAGGGGCAATCAAGTCATTGGTTTTCTTTTGGACGAAATGCATGGGCAAAAGTGGATTATGTGAATGGAAATATTGGATTTCTTCTCTATTTCACTCTTAATGTCATTGTATCTCATTTCCTCTAGTCGATCTTTTCCTTTTGTTTGTTCCTTATGTTTGTTTTCTTGTTCTGTTCTCCTTCCCTCGCTAGTTTCTTGCTAAGTCGGAGTTATTTTTAATACAATTTGCCGTTTACAGAGAAGAAAAGAGACTAGGCATACCACCTATCAAGACATCAGTTGTGAACGTTTTACAAATTACATACCATTAATATTTGTTACTTTAAAGAGAAAACGTAACATGAATAATGACTGCATACATGTATCATATTATTATATTTATATTTAGACAAATGAATGGTAGCACTATTAACCTTTTAATACATTGTCTCGAAGGTTTTCTTAATGTCATATATACATTAATAAAAAAAAGTTAGAAAGTGATAGTATCTTATTTTAATATGTTTTACTTTGAATTTTTTTAAAAAAAATAGAAAACAAAATAATAACATCCAATCACAGCCCAAAATTCAAGATTCTCTCTTCTCTCCTCTGGCTACCCGGTGGCACATGGAAACTGGGGAGGAACCTTGGCGCAAGCCAAGGTAGGTTTTTAGTGAGAGTGGCACGCCCTAGCCACGGGTTTGACGACCCCACTGAGGCCTAATTAGGCAGTGTTTGATATACAATAACGTTATCCTCAATTGCTGAGATGTATCTTATTATTAAATTAATTTATGTCCTTTTGAGACGCCAATATACTAATAATCTCGTTTTTGAATTTGGCAACGTATCATAAACAAACAATTGACAGTTGTTACATCGATTTGTATTTAAAATAATTAACACATGCATCTGTCGAAAGCAATTACCATATATAAAAGAAGCTTTTTGTTTCAAGTTTCTCCTACATATATAAAATTACTTGAGAACTACCTCCACTCCCTGAAAATCCAGTCCTACGGTATGTCGACATACCTTCTTCCCGATCGAAATACATGCTACCAACCCACCTCTATTACAGCCGAAAACCAAATCCCTACAGAAGAAGAACAAGCCTACAAGAAGCTCGATGAAAAGCTCAAAGGCCTTCTTGCAACTCTCCCCAAAGACAAAGGCTGGAGAAGCGCAAACATCTATCTACACGAAGGTTTCTGGTTGAGTTCCCATGTTATCAAAGGCTTATTAATGATCCACAACTACTTCCATGTTCAATCCACCGACATCTTCCTTGCAGCTTTCATGAAGTGTGGAACCACCTGGCTAAAGGCTCTTATGTTCGCCACCGCTAACCGCCACCGTTACAGTTTTTCTGATCATCCCCTTCGTCGCAATGGGCCCCAGAGTGCTTTCCCGTTTCTTGACACACACATTTTTCTTGATTATCCGATAACTAAGTTTGAGCATCTCCCTTCTCCTCGAATGTTCGCCACACACTTTGCTCATAGCTTGTTACCGATCTCATTGTCATCACCTTCCTCGACATGCAAGTTTGTTTACGTGTGTAGGGATCCAAAAGATGCACTCATTTCCAAGTGGCACTTCATGAGCAAACTTAGGTCGAAAGAACTACCACCCCTTTCGTTCAATGAAGCTTACGAACTGTTCTGCAACGGGGTCTCTGAGTACGGACCATTTTGGGACCATGTGTTGGGATACTGGAAAGCTAGCCAGGAAGCACCTGAGAAGATCTTGTTCTTGAAGTACGAGGATATGAAGAGGGAACCCTCGGTGGAGCTGAAGAAGTTGGCGGCGTTCATGGGAATGCCTTTTTCGGCGGAGGAGGAGAAGAGAGGGGTGGTGGGAGAGATTGTGAAGCTTTGTAGCTTTGAGAATTTGAGTAATCTTGAGGTGAATAATGATGGTGGCGGTGCTCAGAAGTTTACGGCGCAGGTGGTGGTGGAGAATCGGGATTTTTTCAGAAAAGGGAAGGTGGGAGATTGGAAAAATTATTTGACAGAGGAGATGAGAGAGCGAATTGATTCGATCACTGAAACCAAGTTTAAGAATTCGGGGTTAACACTGGGTCTTACAAAAAATGCTTGATGATAATGTAAAAGTTTGTCTTTATTTATGGATAAACTATCAATTTAATCGTACTGTAAAATTTCGTCTTTATTAATCAAATAACCTATTACATAAGTTTATAATTACTTAAGTTCTAAGATATTCTTATTTATAACAAAAAAAATGAGATAATAGCAAACAAATATGAAATATCTTATTATTTTGATTATAAACGTGCGATTAGATTTACCATTGATTACTATCAAAAACTGAAATGTACAATGAAAATTCAAATTCACTAATACAAACGACAATATAAATCAATGAGGATGGCATTTTCTTTGTGCAATTCCAATTTAGCAAAACAAAATTGACTTTTTAGAATCACTTTTTTCAACTTCGAGCAAGCCGGCTACAACGTATATGTACTAACTTTTTCAACATAAGCCCACTCACCTCCATTTCTTTCGAAGCTAAACTACCACTATTATAACTTATAAGAGTGTTAAGTATAGCTTAGGAAAGAGCTTAGGATGGAAGGCGAGTGAGGTGATGTGATGCATTGATACAACCAATAGCACAACCCCACCAATTTAGTACCACACAAACTGACGCCCCAACGACATGGTTTTCCTGATTCAGGGTGAACACCAAAAAGTAAAAACAGCCAAGCAGAATGACGAGAGATGATATAATATGTTGATGCATTTACAATCGAAAGAAAGGAAAAGTATTTTAGTGCGGTTGTGTTTCGATTTTACATGATGTGTTTACTTGAACAATAATAATGTTGATGTTATAATCTTTATTTTATTTTTATTATTTTGTAAAATATGATTTTCATACTTAGTGATCGTGCATGGTTACTGAAAAACAAAAAGAGAGTATAAAATAGGGATAAACATTTGGACTGGGGAACTGGGTGACACCGGAATCGATACCAGAATCGGAACCGGATAGAACCATTGGGCTAAGACCGTGACAATATTCTTGAGGATTTTTGGAACCGGGAACCAGAACCGGTAGAACTGGCAAAAACCGAAACCGTTACCGAAATATTTCTCAAAATATGTTGTTATTTCTCGAGGATCGATTTCAACATTGAAGACCCTGCAAGAACCGGCACGGTAGAACCAAAACCAATAGAACTGGCGGTACAGTTCGGTTCTTATTTTAGACCAGGTTCGGTTCCCGGACCAGTTCTGATGCTCATCAGTATAAAATCTCGAAATGAACAGAAAAATAACAAGACTAAACTTATAAACTGAAAACTAAAACCGAAAGAACCATAAACTATCGACTTTATTATAACCGGAAATAAAAAAATAAGTTTGGTTTTGATTCTAAAATTAGATTAACCCCGACATAATATAACCTTAATTTAAAGAAATAGATACTTAGAGTGTATCTTTTATCTATTATCTATATAATTTAAGATTGAATTTGTTGATTTTCCACAATGAGCATATTTTTAGGCCACAAGTCCCCCTAATGAAGCTCTAACTGAGAATAATTATGTCTGGGAAGCCTTTGTTTGGGGAAGCCTTTGTTTTCTGACTTGTCGTTCGATTGGGGAAGTATTTTTGCTTGGTTGTGGTTATGTGTTGTATTTTATTCGTGTAATGACATGTTTATGATCCTCTGTTGATTGTTTCTTACTGTTCACATGTCGTCTAATTTATTGTTGCTCTAAACTATTGGAGAATGGTGTTTATAGACAAAACAAGTCAGAAATATTAATGTGAAAACCGGTCTCCTTTTTGGGTTACATTCAAGAACAAATATGAACAAAACTGAAAAACTGAAAAGAAAAATACAAGGACTCGTTTGTTAATTAATTAAATTTTGATTAATTAAACTAAACTAGGAGATTCTGGAATGTTCCAAATAAAAGAGTTACATATTTGGATTATTACTAATGTTAAGGATAATTATCCAGACCTTTATGTTTATATTTTCGAGTTTGAATCATTCCCTTATAAATAGAGATGCCTAAAACCAAAATTAAAATTCAGAAAATCAGTCAAGTCCCTAAAAACCCGAAGGTGTTCTCAAAGTCTTGAAAAACCCTAGAAGTTGATTACCTCACCACAAAGAAGGAGTCAACACACTGTGAAAAGTAAATTCCAGATTCAGATTGTTCTAATTCACGATGTGCGTTTACTTGGGTGATTTCAGTTTGTTGTTTGTATCCTGGGAGCAATCACAAAAAGGGATTCTACATTGGATCATCCAAGTCCAATCAACTTGTGAAATGAAAGAATTCGAAGCACACATGTGTATGTATTCGACGCCTCTTGATTTTGTTCATTTACTAGTTGCCTCAGTCTATTGAGGTCCTTTATAGTTCTGTTTGATATTGCTTCCACTATCTCTTTCATTGTCTACGGACTCTCATATCCAAATAGTGGTACCAAAGCAAACATGTTTATATTTATAATATTTAGGGTTTCTAGTTTTTATGTTTGAGTTTGCATGATCTAGATTTGATCTGGTTTTCTAAATGTTAAATAGTCTTAATTATTTTAGAAATTGCCTATAAATTCATAAGGGTTCTTAACTATCTCATCACCTTCGCGACATGTAGGTCACTCTACATGATGTGAAGGGTCAACATGGTGACTCCTAAATCTGCTTTCATAAATCACATCTTTATCTCAATTTGCGGTGCAATAGGTCCTCCTCCGTGACGCGAAGGATCTGCTCCCAGATAATTGTTTCCTCTCCCATATATGTATGACTCGATTTTAAGCACATACAAATTGATCAATTTTACTTAAACTGGAAATCTGAACTCTAATTCTTTAATTAATTAATTAAAGAATAGGTAATTAATAAAAAGTCGAAGACTAAATACATATGTTTAAATTAATAATTGACTTGTGTTGTAACATCCCAAAAATCATAGTAAAATTTTTTGCTTTTCAAAGACCATTTTTATAAGCCATAAGTCATACAAAACCACATCTCCAAACAATGTCATAAAAATCAGAGTATCTAAAACATCTCTCAATACAAATCCCAAGATGATGTGTACAATCACACCTTGTGACAACCCCAAACCTATTCCCGTTACAAATCCCATTTTCACTAACGGAATGCGTTAACATACGTTATTTTATGTAAAAATTTGGAATCGTCAATATCCGAATATCTAATTATATGCATGTCCTAATATCATTATAGGTAATATAACTCGTACGTGTTAACCTAGTTTAACCTAGTAGAGTCGTATTACTGTTTCAACCACTTCACCCGGGTAAAAAGTTTTAACCCCGTTAAACTTTAGCATCGGGTAGCCGTGTATCGGGTACAATAACCGAGACATATAAAAACGCTTGAACACTACAATTGAACTCTTTTACTACACTTTCACCTCTCTCTCACTACTTTCTCTCTGTAGACCCGAAATCGACCCCAAATCTGCGAATTTCCAACTTCCAAATGTAAGGATTCATCCCCTAACTTAATCTAAACATACTTTACTGCAATTAGAGTCCAAAATCATAAGAATCAAGGACCATAAAGGAGTTTACGGCCTAAGAAGCTTCATAGGCCGTAAACCCCCAAAATCATGCCAAAAACTTTGTTTTTACTTCCTTTAAGCTTATGGACTAGTTAAGGCATAAACCTAGGGGACTTTGGACACTAAAACACAAGGAATTAGAGCCTAAAAAGGAGTTTACGGCCCAAGCTTGTGCTTAGGCCGTAAACACCTCAAACACCCCAAAAACACTTGTTTAATGTCCCAAAAACTCATCTAGGATGTTTGGTAATTTAGACTTGACAACAAGGAAGGCTTAAATGCATCAAACAACACCATTTGATGGCAAAAAGAGGAGTTTACGGCCAAGGCTAAGCTTGGGCCGTAAACACCCATATTTTTGTGTCAAACAAGTCCCAAAACCCCTCAAATGCATGTAAGGATTTTAGCTAAGGTCTTTGGAAGTGTGTTGTACCATTAAACTTCACATTTGAACACAAAATGAAGAGTTTACGGCCAAGGATGTTCTTGGGCCGTAAACTCCCCAAAAATGTATGCTAAATTGTCCCAAACTCACTATAGGGCCTTCTAGGATTTATCTAAGGTGTATGAGACCATGTTGTACCATTAAAACATACATCTTGAAGGGTTTACTTGATTTTACGGCCCAAGAACAAGTCTTGGCCGTAAACTCCCCAAAAATGTCACAAATTATGATGTTTAATCCCTTATAATAGTCCAAGACACATACCACTAAATTAAGGAAGTGAAATAAGACCCTAATCATACATTTTGGAGTGCCACAAGAGTTTACGGCCAAGCCTAGGGGGTTTACGGCCGTAAACTCCCAAAGGATGGCCTTTGGGCCATAAACTCCAAAGGAGTGAGCTCATGGACCCTCCCGTAAATCAATCATGACTTTGTACCACTCCCGGGAACCCCTTATAGGCCTTAAAACCACGAAAACGATGCTAGAATGTCCAAATACTATAATGAAAAGCATAAGATGATTAACTTCTTGTAAAATACATATTTCATATGATATTAGGGTCCTAGGAGGTGCTCAAGTGGTTATTGGGTACCAAACGCTCAATCGACGCTTTTACCCGACTTACCCGATTCACCCGATTTCCGCGATTTCAGGTGAGTTCATACCCCTTAAATGAACCTTTCAAATGTTTTATATGTTTTAGGGGGGAGATACAAGTTGAATATACATGTTTATGAAAAGTTATACAAGACTATTTTTCAGATTACAGAATTAATCACATGTGATTCACAACCTGTAGTTCAAATCACATGTGATTTATCACTATGCTTTATAAATAAATCAATTGTTTTCAAAACTATCTTGGATTAACAAACAAGTTTTAAATGTTCCTTTCGAACAATACTTTTGTTTAATAAAACTCTTTATAAGAATGTAATCATACTAATATATTTATATAAGTAAGACTTGAAGGACTTAGGACCGATAGCTCGCCTTATTTCCTGTTTTCTTGTTTGATTGTGGGCTTAGGGTAGTGGTTATCCGTCTGATTGTCATTGTTTTCTT